AGTACTATATATAAAAACAATAAAGGCATAATCTGGAAAAACAAGTGTTGTGCATTAAATTGAATAATATTCTGAATATTTTACAGTTGGTTTAATACATTTATCTCAAACTGTGTCAGAGTTTAATTAATTTAAGTGGGTACAGTATATAAAACATGACACATATGGATTCAGTACTGTATATAACAACAGTAAAGGCATAATCTGGAAAACCAAGATAAATTGAATAATATTCTGAATATTTTACAGTTGGTTTGATAGCTTTATCTCAAATGGTGTCAGAGTTTAATTAATTTAAGTGGGTACAGTATATAAAACATGACAAATATGGATTCAGTACTGTATATAAAAACAGTAAAGGCATAATCTGAAAAACCAAGCCTTGTGCATTATAGGGAATCATATTCTGAATATTTTACAGTTTGTTTGATACCTTTAGATCAAATGGTGTTGTCGTTTAATGGATTTATATTATTGCATACATTAAAAGTTGTAAAATTATTATAAAAAACATAAAATTGTAATTCCAAATTTTTGTTTTTTTTGGAATTTTTGGGTGTAACAAAAATGTGGGGGCATAACACACACAGTTTCACCCAATCTCATGTTAATCTTGAGTATCTATAGAGTAGTACTGCATACTTCATATCTCCAAAAAGTCTTTAGTTTTGCATTAAATTGAATAATATTTAGATATTTTTATAGTTGTTTTGATACCTTTATCTCAAACTGTGTCAGAGTTTAATTAATTTAAGTGGGTACAGTATATAAAACATGACACATATGGATTCAGTACTGTATATAACAACAGTAAAGGCATAATCTGGAAAACCAAGACTTGTGCATTATAGGGAATAATATTCTGAATATTTTACAGTTTGTTTGATACCTTTAGATCAAATGGTGTTGTCGTTTAATGGATTTATATTATTGCATACATTAAAAGTTGTAAAATTATTATAAAAAACATAAAATTGTAATTCCAAATTTTTGTTTTTTTTGGAATTTTTGGGTGTAACAAAAATGTGGGGGCATAACACACACAGTTTCACCCAATCTCATGTTAATCTTGAGTATCTATAGAGTAGTACTGCATACTTCATATCTCCAAAAAGTCTTTAGTTTGATCATATTTATAAAAGAAAGGTACAATTTTACGATTCTCTCCGGAAAATGCCGAGCTACTGGAGGCGCGCCGTGGCCGGAGCTAAAGAGTGACGAGCACTTGAACTCCGACTGCCAACAAAACAGACATTTGATGCAGTTTCACTTACCGTCTGCAGTTCTGAATCATTACTTTATCTTTTATAGCTGGGACCGCTCCATCTTTCAGTACGTTTGTAATGGGTTTTAATGTTTATGTCTCGTCGCTCCGGCCGGACACGGTATGTGAGGGGCGTAACATTTCCGTCTCATGCTTGAGGTATTCGGCCAATCACAATGCACTGGATAGCTGGCCAATCAGAGCACACCTCGCTTTTTCAGACCGATGAGCTTTGTAAAAATCGACGCGTTTCAAAAAGGCGGGGCATAGAGGAGAAACAATAATGTACAGTATGTGGAAAATAATGTGTTTTTTTAACTTTAAACCGCATAAACACATTTCATTACACCAAATACACAAAATAATGTTATTTTTAGCAGCATCATATGACCCCTTTAAAGAAAACTACCATTTAAAATGATACCGCTCAAATAAATATGCATGTGAATATGGTGTAAAATGTGTCTTGTTTCCATGAAGGGGAAAACTAAATTTAAGTGCAATTTTCTTATATTGCAAATGATCTGCCAATGGGGTAAGAAATTAAAAATATTCTTGTTTCTGTTTGCATTACCTATTTTTCTTACTCTATGGCGGACAATTTTACGTAAAATGCACTTAAAAGGAAAATCCCCCAGGAAACAAGACTAAATATTTTAGACCATTTTTCATCTATAGAAAATGTATCTTAACTTAAGAATTGTTAGATATTTGTATCTCTCAAATGGACCATTGACACTCCTAATTGAGATTGTAGATAGAGTGTCAATGGTCCATTTGAGAGATA